AACCATCCCATCCCCACCACCACCCCTCTGCCCCCCCCCCCCCCTCGCGATCCGTCTAACAAACTCCCCATCCCCACTGAACCTCCCGCCTACCTCAGCTCCCCTCCCCCTACCACCCCTCTAATCCACCCCCTTACCCCACCACCACCACTCCTCCGCACGCCCGACCCCCCTCCCCACGCCCCATCACCGACACCCTCCCCTTTACGATTCTTACAAGCCCCCAACCCTGCCTCCATGCCTGAACTCATGCGCGCCATGCGCCTGATATCACCCCGCCCAGCCCTTCCCTCCCGACCCTCACACCCACCTCTACCCCGAGTAGCTGTTAAACCCTCTAGGGGTGATCCCCGCATCTCACAGAGGATCTGCTACTGGGCCTCCCCCGCCTACCTAGCCACTACGTCCCCCCCTCCCCTCATGCATAGCTCTTCGAATCCGCCGCCACCACCCTACTGCCTACCACCACCCCCGCCTTTCCTCCACCCCCACCCTCACGCACCTCCGCCCCACCAGTAGTGGTCCTAACACCTCCATCCTTCATACGCCAACACCGCCTCGCATTTTTCCCTCTGTTAAGGCACGCACTGAAATCCTGAGCCTCCCCGACCCCTTCTTTCCGCACCCTCGCCCTCCTAGCATGTGCCCACTCCCCCATCCCCCAATTCCCCTCTCCCCAGCCGTCCCCCAACTGACCTCCCCAACGGTTCCCCAACCCCGACCCCATCCCACAATGTCAGGCGCCCTCCCCGGCGCCTACACAATGTCTCACTACAACACTCAATCCCAGACCAACAAACCCCCCCCTTGCCACCACCCAGCGCTTCCCCCAACACCGTGCTACCCACCCCACTATCCGTGTAGCAATCCCGTCCACCCAAAATAAAACAAAAAACGAACTATTCCCCAGCAAATACCCCCCCCCCCCCCAGACAACCTAACGAAATCACCCAACGCAGCCCCCCAACCCACCCCCACGACTTCCCCCCCACAGTCCGTCACACCCCCCAGCATACTCACAACCCCAAATGGGTCCCCTAAAAACAGCTCAAACTCAATAAACCAATCCCCGCCTTCGAATCTACCCCCGCACCCCCCTAAGAATGCTACATCGCATATGACCACCAAACCCTACCCCGCGCCCAACCTCGCCGCCCCAACGACCCCTCACCCCCACACATAACAAATAACCACCTACCCCTCCTCCGCCCAACGCAAAAAAATGCCCCAAGGGACATACAACATTAAGCACTGATAACAAACATACCCCTCTAACGAGCCCTCCCATCCCCTCACCTCTAGACAGTCTACACATAAAATGCTAACAGCCCCGTCAAACTCCGTAAACACACCGCCCCGCTCGCCAAATAGTACATCCACTCCCCCGACAAGCACAGCCCCCTCCCAAGCCTCAGTTTCACAGTCGCCTGACCTTCCACCCACTTAACAACTGACGCAACCTCCACACCCCCTTCCACACTCCGCTGCCTCCCCATCAACCAATTCCACCTATCCCACGCTCGCCGCAGGCCAAACAGACCACTCAAAAACAACCCCAGCACAAACACCCCACATCCCCCCCCCCCCAACCAGCATCACCACACCCACTCACTTCTCTCCTTCACCCCCACCGGCCACCATCCCCCCTCTCTCCCCACTCACTACTTGCCCCATTTCCCACTGCCCCCCTAGCACGTGAATCCCACCATCCACTCGACTCCCTACCACCCTGCTCGCCCCACAGCCCACCCCAGCCAAGATCTATTAGGTTGATTTCTGCCAACCATCGACCACCCACGTCCCCCTACCCCAACCAACTCAACCGGCACCGCCACCAAGCCCTCTGCACGTTTTGTATTCGCAACCCCCGCGCCTCACCCACGCTTGGTCTACACCAGAAAACCACGGAACGCTTCGCCAGAAAGCACCCCCTCCGGCCACACCGACCCAGAGCCCAAACACCCACTCAAAAAACCACCTCAACACATTGAACCAGCCATGTACCCTATACAGCCTTTTTTTTTCACGTCGCCCCTCCTCAACCTACAAGCCTCAATGCGTACAGACGCCTCCACCCGCCCCCCCAATCTTAAAACAACTACCGCCATGCGCCAACCACATTATAGCCCACCCATCCACACCTCCCCAACCGTCCCTTCCCAGCATCCCGCGCTAACGCAATTACCGTTAGAACCTTTACCCTACCCTCTCCGACCCACCCATACCTCGACCTCCCCTGACAACGCCAGGGAAACGTAGAGCTGGTCTCTACCGGACCACACCCCTCTTTCAAACCACAGTCCCCCACGTACGAAATAATAAAAAAATCCCCCCACTACGCACAACCAAGTCCACCACAAACACAATCAAATACCCAACAAAACACATCTCCCCAGACGATTCGTCCACCCCTACGCTGCCCCCCCCTCCTACAAAACTTCCGATGCCGCACGTGATCATCCCGACCACTATGCCACCCCACCTCCCTTCCCCCGCCTCATCTCTGCCGCCCGCCTTTACACCATCCCTGCCACACCAAACCAAAAAAACAACATGCACACGAATCATTCCACTCCCCCTCCAACTCCCACAGCCCCCAGCGACCTAGCTCTACCAACCTCGCTCACACATCTCACTCGCCGCCAAGCGCCACAAAAACTCACCAAAAACACGCCTCCCACTCCCTCAACACAACTCCCGCCGCCTCAATCAACCCTCTCCTCACACGAACACTCGCACCTTATGCTATCTCCTACCCATCGTTGTCCCAGACTCCCCATCCTCGCCACCCCGCCCCTCCTCGGCGCACTAACACCCAAACAATACAAACACAAACCCCCGCAAAACACCTCCGCCCCAACCCTCACCAGTAATCAAGCGCGAACCACCGAAAACCAAAACCTCGCTCCCTCCAGACCAATGGCCCGGGCAGTCCATCACCCATACCCCACTCACACCTTTTTTTACCCACAACACACACGCCCCCCCCCACCACCACAACACAACCCAACAACACCCATCAAACCCCCACCCCAAAAAACCAAAAAAAAACCCCCCAAAAAAAAAAAAAAAAAAAACCCCCCAAAAAAACCCCCCCCCAAAAAAAAAAAAAAAAAAAAAAAAAATTTCCCAAAAAAAAAAAAAAAAAAACCCTTCCCAAAAAAAAAAAACCCCCCCCAAAAAAAAAAAAAAACCAACCTTAAAAAAACCCCAAAAAAAAAACCCCCAAAAAAAAAAAAAAAAAAAAAACCCCCCCCCTTTCCCCAAAAAACCCCCCCCCCCAAAAAAAAAAACCCCAAATAAAAAAATTTCCCCCCCCCCCCCCCCCCTTTTTTTTTTTTTTAAAACCCCCCCTTTTTCCCCCCCCAAAAACCAAAAACCCCAAAAAAAAATTTTTTTTTTAAAAAAAAAATTTTAACCCCCTTTAAAACCCCCAAAAAAAAAACCCCCCCCCTTTTTTTTTTTAAAAAAAAAAAAAAAAACCCCCTTTTTTTTTTTCCCCCCCCCCCAAAATTTTTTTTGGGTTTTTTTTAAATTTTTTTCCCCCCCCCCTTTTCCCCTTTTTCCCCCCAAAAACCCCCCCCCCCAAAACCCCCCCCCCCCTTTTTTTCCCCCCCCCAAAATTTTTTAAAACCCCCCCAACCCCCCCCCCCCCCCCCCCCCTTTTTCCCCCCCCCCCCCAAAAAAAAAATTTTTTTTTTCCCCAAAAAAAACCCCCCCCCCCCCCCAAAAACCCCCCCCCCAAAAAAAAAACCCCCCCCTAAAATTTTTTTTTTCCCCCCTTTTTCCCCCCTTTTTTTAAAAAAAACCCCCCCCCCCCAAAAAAAAAAAACCCCCCCCCCCCCAAAAAAAAACCCCCCCCCCCCCCCCCCCCCTTTTTCCCCCCCCCTTTTTTTCCCCCCCCCCCCCCCCCCCCCCCCCCCCCCCCAAAAACCCCCCCCCCTTTTTAAATTTTTTTTTAAAAAAAATTTTCCCCCCCCCCCTTTTTTTTTTTTTTTTTTCCCCCCCCCCCCCAAGGGAAAAAAGGAAAGGGGGGGAAAAAAAAATTTGGGGGGGTAAAAAATTTTTTAAAGGAAACGGGAAAAAAAAGGGGGGGCCCCCCTTTAAAAAAAAAATTGGGGGGGAAAAAAAAAAAAAAAAAAAAGGGGCCGGGAAAAGGGGGGGGGTTTTGGGGGGGAAGGGAAAACCCCAAAACCCAAACCCCGGGGGGGGGGGAAAAAAAGGGGGAAAAAACAAAAAAAAGGGAAACCCCTGGGAAAAACCCCCCAAAAAAAAAGGGGGAAAGGAACAAAAAACCCAAGGGGGCCCCCCGGGGGGGGGCCCCTTTTGGGGGGGTTTTTAAAATTTTTTTTTTTTTTTTCCCCCTTTTTTTTTAAAATTTTGGGGGTTTTAAAAAAAAAAAATTTAAACCCTTTTAAAGGAAAGGGGCCCCAAAAATTTTTTTTTCCCCCCCCTTTTTTTTTCCTTTGGGGAAAAAAAAAAAAAAAATTTTTTTTTTTTTTTTTAAAAAAACGAAACCAAAAAAAAAAAATTTGGGGAAGGGGGAAAAATTTTGGGGCCCCCGGGGGGGTTTTGGGGGGGGAATGTGGGTTTTTTAACAAGGGAAGGGGCCCGGGGGTTTTGGGGGGGCCCCCAAAAAGGGGGTTTAAATTTTAAAACCAAGGAAAAAAAAATTTTGGGGCCAAAAACCCCCGGGAACCCCTTTTCCTCCCATCTCCTCCTCACTACAAAAAGATTGTCAGACAAATGCTGAAAGCATTTCAAGCTTTAGGTTGCCTGATGAGTTTGAAAGTGCATTTCCTCCAGTCCCACCTTGACTACTTTCCTGAAAATGTGGGAGCTGTGAGTTATTAACAAGGTGAACGGTTCCACCAAGACATTAAAGAGATGGAAGGGAGATACCAGGGAAAATGGAGCATTACAATTAGAGATGAGCGAAGAATTCAAAAATTCGATTCGACTGATTCGGCGAATTCGTGGACAATATTCGATTCGAGTCGAATATATTCGCTGTGAATTTAACTTAAAAAAGGGTGTTTCTCGATCTTAGAATCACCGCACATTTCACTCATTTGGCCAGTCACGGGGCCAAAACCAGTGTTTGGAGCCACAGTGTGGCGGTGGAGGCAGGCAGCAGCAATGGGAGGCCATACAGCAACCTATGACAAAATGGAAACCAGCAGGAGTGTGAGGAGACCTGAAAGTGGCACATGGCAGAGTGGGAGCAATGGGAGGCGGTACAGGGACCCAGGTCACACTGTGGGCTCAGCAGCAGCGTGACCAGGCGGTACGGGGGCCCATGGCCGATTTGGGGCCTGGCAGCACCTATGGGAGGCCTGTAATCTGCCAGCAACCTATGTCAAAATGGAAAACCGCAGGAGTGTGAGGAGACCTCAAAGTGGCACATGGCAGAGTGGAAGCAATGGGAGGCCGTACAGGGACCCAGGTCACACTGTGGGCTCAGCAGCAGCGTGACCAGGCGGTACGGGGGCCCATGGCCGATTTGGGGCCTGGCGGCACCTATGGAAGGCCTGTAATCTGCCAGCAACCTATGACAAAATGGAAAACCACAGGAGTGTGAGGAGACCTCAAAGTGGCACATGGCAGAGTGGAAGCAATGGGAGGCCGTACAGGGACCCAGGTCACACTGTGGGCTCAGCAGCAGCGTGACCAGGCGGTACGGGGGCCCATGGCCGATTTGGGGCCTGGCGGCACCTATGGGAGGCCCGTAATCTGCCAGCACCCTATGACAAAATGGAAAACCTGGGCTGGGGCAGGCAGAGACCCGCCGTATCTTTATCACGGTTCTCCCCCAGGCCACCGAATGGCGACGCTGCATATGCTGACGCAACGCTGTAGTCCCTACAGGGCCCCCTGGGCCACGCTTGACTTTTTGGCCACATAGTCGACATACGGCTATGTTTACTACCTCGGGCGGCTTGACGAAAAATTGCCACACCGCCTAGTAGGAAACTTTGCCCCCGCTACTCCTCACTGGCTGACTGCTACTTCCTCCGTGCACACCGGCACCACTACTGGCCAAAAATGGTAGGCTGCAGTGGGAGCTGGTGCTCTACTCCGTGGCCGTTTGCCTCCACTGACACTGCTGCGACCCTGCTGCCTCCTGGCAGCAGCAATGGGAGGCCGTACAGGGACCCATGAGTCACTCTGGACTTGGCAGCAGCATGAGAGGCGGTATATAGGGGCCCATGGCAGATTAGGGGCCTGGCAGCAGCTATGGGAGGCCCGTAATCTGCCAGCACCCTATGTCAAAAAATTCAAAACACAACAGGAGTGTGTGAGGAGACCTGAAAGTGGCACATGGCAGAGTGGAAGCAATGGGAGGCCGTACAGGGACCTAGGTCACACTGTGGGACCAGCAGCAGCGTGACCAGGCGGTACGGGGGCCCATGGCCGATTTTTGGGGCCGATTTGCCTGGCGGCACCTATGGGAGGCCTGTAATCTGCCAGCAACCTATGTCAAAATGGAAAACACAGGAGTGTGAGGAGACCTCAAAGTGGCACATGGCAGAGTGGAAGCAATGGGAGGCCGTACAGGGACCCAGGTCACACTGTGGGCTCAGCAGCAGCGTGACCAGGCGGTACGGGGGCCCATGGCCGATTTGGGGCCTGGCGGCACCTATGGGAGGCCTGTAATCTGCCAGCAACCTATGTCAAAATGGAAAACCACAGGAGTGTGAGGAGACCTCAAAGTGGCACATGGCAGAGTGGAAGCAATGGGAGGCCGTACAGGGACCCAGGTCACACTGTGGGACCAGCAGCAGCGTGACCAGGCGGTACGGGGGCCCATGGCCGATTTGGGGCCTGGCGGCACCTATGGGAGGCCTGTAATCTGCCAGCAACCTATGTCAAAATGGAAAACCACAGGAGTGTGAGGAGACCTCAAAGTGGCACATGGCAGAGTGGAAGCAAATGGGAGGCCGTACAGGGACCCAGGTCACACTGTGGGACCAGCAGCAGCGTGACCAGGCGGTACGGGGGCCCATGGCCGATTTGGGGCCTGGCGGCACCTATGGGAGGCCTGTAATCTGCCAGCAACCTATGTCAAAATGGAAAACCGCAGGAGTGTGAGGAGACCTCAAAGTGGCACATGGCAGAGTGGAAGCAATGGGAGGCCGTACAGGGACCCAGGTCACACTGTGGGCTCAGCAGCAGCGTGACCAGGCGGTACGGGGGCCCATGGCCGATTTGGGGCCTGGCGGCACCTATGGGAGGCCTGTAATCTGCCAGCAACCTATGTCAAAATGGAAAAAAAGCACAGGAGTGTGAGGAGACCTCAAAGTGGCACATGGCAGAGTGGAAGCAATGGGAGGGCCGTACAGGGACCCAGGTCACACTGTGGGCCCAGCAGCAGCGTGACCAGGCGGTACGGGGGGCCCATGGCCGATTTGGGGCCTGGCGGCACCTATGGGAGGTAATCTGGCCGTAATCTGCCAGCACCCTATGACAAAATGGAACCCTGGGCTGGGGCAGGCAGAACCGCCGTATCTTTATCACGGTTTTCCCAGGCCACCGAATGGCGACGCTGCATATGCTGACGCAACGCTGTAGTCCCAACATGGGCCCCCTGGCCACGCTTGACTTTCTGGCCACATAGTCGACATACGGCTATGTTTACTTCCTCGGGCGGCCATGACGAAAAATTGCCTGGCACCGCCGAGTAGGAAACTTTGCCCCCGCTACTCCTCACTGGCTGACTGCTACTTCCTCCGTGTCACAAAATTCACCACTACTGGCAGTGTGGTAGGCTGCAGTGGAGCTGGTGCTCTACTCCGTGGCACATTTGCCTCCAGACACTGCTGCGACCCTGCTGCCTCCTGGCAGCAGCAATGGGAGGCCGTACAGGGACCCATGAGACTCTGGACTTGGCAGCAGCATGAGGAGGCGGTATATAGGGGCCCATGGCAGATTAGGGGCCTGGCAGCAGCTATGGGAGGCCCGTAATCTGCCAGCACCCTATGTCAAAAAATTCAACACACAGCAGCAGTGTGAGGAGACCTGAAAGTGGCACATGGCAGAGTGTGGCGATGGAGAGACAGCAGCAATGGGAGGCCGTACAGGGACCCATGAGAGACTCTGGACTTGGCAGCAGCATGAGGAGGCGGTATATAGGGGCCCATGGCAGATTAGGGGCCTGGCAGCAGCTATGGGAGGCCCGTAATCTGCCAGCACCCTATGTCAAAAAATTCAACACACCAGCAGTGTGAGAGACCTGAAAGTGGCACATGGCAGAGTGTGGCGATGGAGACAGCAGCAATGGGAGGCCGTACAGGGACCCATGAGAGACTGTGGACCTGGCAGCAGCATGAGGAGGCGGTATATAGGGGCCCATGGCAGATTAGGGGCCTGGCAGCAGCTATGGGAGGCCCGTAATCTGCCAGCACCCTATGTCAAAAAATTGAAAACACACAGCAGTGTGAAGAGACCTGAAAGTGGCACATGGCAGAGTGTGGCGATGGAGACAGCAGCAATGGGAGGCCGTACAGGGACCCATGAGAGACTCTGGACTTGGCAGCAGCATGAGGAGGCGGTATAGGGGCCCATGGCAGATTAGGGGCCTGGCAGCAGCTATGGGAGGCCCGTAATCTGCCAGCACCCTATGTCAAAAAATTCAACACAACAGCAGTGTGTGAGGAGACCTGAAAGTGGCACATGGCAGAGTGTGGCGATGGAGACAGCAGCAATGGGAGGCCGTACAGGGACCCATGAGAGACTCTGGACTTGGCAGCAGCATGAGGAGGCGGTATATAGGGGCCCATGGCAGATTAGGGGCCTGGCAGCAGCTATGGGAGGCCCGTAATCTGCCAGCACCCTATGTCAAAAAATTCAACACAGCACAGTGTGAAGAGACCTGAATGTGGCACATGGCAGAGTGTGGCGATGGAGACCTGCAGCAGCAATGGGAGGCCCGTAATCTGCCAGCACCCTATGACAAAAAATGGAACACACCAGCAGTGTGTGAGGAGACCTGAAAGTGGCACATGGCAGGGGCATGATTCATGGCGGATTTAGTCAGTTGTGTCAGGAACTGGTGGTTTGAAATCCAGACTAATCCACGCCTGATTCATTTTCACAAACGTGAGTCTCTCCACACTTTGGGTGGACAGTCGTGTCCTCCGCGGAGTTACAATACCTCCTGCCGCACTAAACACGCGCTCCGATGCCACGCTACTGGCCGGGCATGACAGCCTTTCAAGGGCAAATTCAGCTAGTTGGGGCCAAAGGTCAAGTTTCGTTGCCCAGTAGTCAAGGGGATTGTCTACCTCGGTTGGCAGGGTGCTGTCCAAGTAGGCCCAAGCCTGTTGTTTGAGCTCCTGCTCCAGGTCCACCTGATGCTGCTGCTGCTGCTGCGGCTGGTTAGTAGTTTCCTCACTGCGCTGGTGAAGAAAGCTACTCATCATCGACTGCAGACTGAGGCAGCCGCTGCTGGTGGAGCTGCCACTGCTCCTACCACCCCACCCCTCCCCTGCTGCCATGGCAGCGGAACGCGAGCGCACAGGGCCCACAGTGTCTGAGGATGGACGTGGGCGCACAAAGGCAGAGACCAACTGACTACATAGGTGGTTTTTATAGTACGTAATTTTGGCCTCCCTCTCAGCAGGTGTGAAAAAGGCCACCATTTTGGAACGATAGCGAGGGTCCAACAAGGTGGACAGCCAAAAGTCATCCCTCTGTCTGATGGTTATTATTCGGCTGTCGCTACGCAAGCAACCGAGCATGCTATGGGCCATTTGTGCCAAGGAATGCGAGGGACTCCCTGCCTCCATCTCCACAGCATACTGCCACGGTGCGTCTGGGTCCTCTGTCTCCTCCTCCTCCTCCTCTACCAGATGCTCCTGCTCCTCCACTCCTGTCCGCTGAGTGGAAAAACCACCCATTTCACTCAATAATTCCTGAGCACAAATGTCCTCCTCTACCTCCTCCTCTTCTTCCTGTCCTGCCCCACAGGGGTCATGTGGCGTTGAGATCTGTGCGCCACGTCTACCGCACCCTGACCAGCCATTGTTAACAGCATTTGTTCCAGGACGTGCAACAGAGGAATGACGTCGTTCATCCCATAGTCCTGCCGACTCACGAATAGCGTGGCCTCCTCAAAGGGCCTGAGCAAGCGGCAGGTGTCACGCATGAGCTGCCAATGGCTGACATCGAAGTTACACAGGGGAGTACCTTTATCCGCTTGTAACATCAGGAAATCGGTGATGGCCTTTCGCTGCTCGTAAAGGCGGTCTAACATGTGTAGGGTTGAATTCCACCTTGTTGCAACGTCGCAGATCAGGCGATGCTGTGGAATTCCGTTCTGCCGCTGCAGCTCAATGAGGGTGTTCTTTGCGGTGTAGGAATGGCTGAAATGCATGCACAGTTTACGTGACATTTTAAGGATGTCTTGCAGTGGGATGGTGGATTTTAGGAACCGCTTGACAACCAGATTGAACACGTGAGCCATGCATGGCGCATGGCACAACCTTCCTTGACGCAGAGCAGACACCATGTTCTTTCCGTTGTCGGTCAACATGGTTCCGATTTTCAGTTTGCGCGGAGACAGCCATCTGTCGATTTCTCTGTTCATTACACTCAGAAGTTCCTCCCCTGTGTGACTACGTTCGCCAAGGCATACCAGGTGCAGCACAGCGTGACACCGTTGCGCCCTGCACATGTGATATGCCGGTCGGGTAATGGGACTTGGCACGGGGGTGGCGGCTGAGGACACGGCGGAAAAAGAGGTGGTAGAGGCGGACATGTTTGCTGGACCAAGGACGTGCAAACGTGGAGGCAAAAGCGTCGTGACCTGTCCAAGTTGCTGGTGCGGCTGTGCCGGCACCACGTTCACCCAGTGGGCCGTAAATGACATGTACTGTCCCTGACCGTAGTTACAGCTCCACACGTCGGCGCTGCCGTGCACTTTGGCAGAGACCGACATGCTCAAAGACTGGCCCACCATCTCTTCTACATGTGAATGCAGGGCTGGCACTGCCTTTATGGCGAAGAAATGACGGCTTGGCACTCTCCACCGCGGCGCGGCACAAGCCATCATTTCTCGGAAAGGTGCTGAGTCCACCAGTTGGAAAGGGAGGGACTGCAGCACCAGCAACTTGGACAGGAGGACGTTCAGCTTTTGCACCGTCGGGTGCGTGCTCGCAAACTGTTGTCTCTTGGAAACGGATTCCAAGAAAGACTGTTGACGGAATCCGAGAAGAGGAGTAGCAGGAGAAGGAGCATCTGAACGAGCGGAAGATGCCAACGAGCGACAACTCCCCTCAGCAGAGGTGTTGGAGCCTTGACTGGCTGATAGAGGGCGATTGACGACGTCGGGTGACGGAGCAAGTAACGG